CGGCCGGTCGCCTCTCAGCCCCAGAGCGTCCCGGGCCGAGCCGGGGTAACCCCGCGACAGGTGCAGAGGGCGCTCTGCACCTGTCAGCAACCGCGTCCGCCTGGCCCCCAACTCCCTGCGACCCGAGAGCCCGCCCAGGTCGGGGACTCCAAGGGGATCTAGGGAGCTTTCCTGAGACAGCCTGCGCGGGGACCCCAGAAGCCGGGAGCACCGCAGTCCAGGCGGCCCGGGCGCTGGGACCCCGTCTCCCTGGGTTCAGAGGAGCCGCGGAGTTCATGGGTAACCAGCGGCGGAGAACTCGGAGGACCAGCTCCGCTCCGCCCGGCCCGGCGCGCCTGCCCAGCACTGCGGGGTGTCCAGAGGCCCCGTCCAGCATCTCCCTCCAGTTGGCGGCCGGTGGAGTCTGCCTCTTCAGAAATGTGTCCCTGTCTTGCTACTAACCCCAGGGCTGGGGGCGGCCACTCTGGTGGCACTGAGGCAGGCTCCGCTTCCCAGCGCTCACGAGCTGTCTCCTGCGCCCAGCTCAGGCCAAGCTGACGATCCACGGGCCCGCCGAGTTCACACAGCTGCAGGCGGTGGAGGGCGGGGAGGTGGTGCTGCCCGCCTCCTACTCTCTGGACGGGGTCGTGTCTGTGCTCCACCCTGGGGAGATGCCGGTCGTGATCTGGTTCAAGGAGCAGGAAGGGAGACATCTGAGCCAGGTGAGGGAGGGAGCTGCCAGCAGCGGGCGGTGCCCAGGGAGTGGGGGCCTGGGCAAGGCTGGCAGCAGGCGAGGGGGGAGGAGGGCCAGGTTTTGTTCCATCATCGAGGTGGCCTCCCCAAGAGTTCTCTTCCCTGAAGTCTCCCTAGGGCCTAGCACAGGAGTCACCATACACAGTGCGGAGGGGGGGAGGGGGTCGGGGAGGCCTGGGACCTGGAGGGCGGGGGGTGGCCATCTCTGTGCCTGTACTTTGGGCCCTGTGATGCCACAGGCTGCTTCTCCCCCACTCGGTGCCTGATCGTCTGTCTGCCTGCCTGCCCTTGACACCACCCTGAGAGGCCAGGG